CCGTTGTCAAGCACAAGGCATGCCTTGTGGCCCAAGGCTTTGTACAACGCGAGGGCATCGATTTTGAGGAAGTCTTTGCGCCCGAGAGCACGCATGGAGTCGGTCCGTCATTGCTACTTGCTTTGCTTGGCGACAAAAAGACCTGGTGCGCCCATTACTTGGACGTTAAATCGGCCTTCCTCAACGGTGAGTGGCGAAATGGTCTTCGTCAGCAACCTCGTGCTTCACCATCAGGGAGAGGAGCATAGGGTGCTCCGACCACGCAAGGCGCTCACGGCTACTGGTGAGGCCCCTCGAGCATGGAACGCCAAGCTTGACGCCATGTTGGGCGAGCTTGGGTTTCAACGATGCGCGCAACCAACACGTTTCTACACGCCGCAACGGGGAAGGAGGAGCTCATCGTCGACGTGTATGTCGGACGACTTGATCATCAACGGCGTGTGTGGAGGACATCGGTAGCTTCAAGCACGAGATGGCGGCTCATTTTGAATGAGCGATCTCGGGATGCTCACCTACTACCTCGGTATCGAGGTGAGACAGGGGAGGAGGTACTCACGCGCCGAGCACGAGCACGACGCCTCAAGTTGTTGGAGTGGAGCGGCATGGCTGAGTGCAAGCCATGTGTGACTCCAATGGAGGAGCGGTGAAGTCGACAAAGGCCAATACCATGGCGAAGGTGGATGCAACACTCTACCGAGCATCGGCGGCGGTCTGCGCTACCTAGTCCACATGAGGCCAGCCATTGCGTCACTGTAGTGGGCTACGTCGGTCGCTTCATGGAGGATCCCGAGAGGATCGGCGCTGCGGTGAAGCGGCTACTACGCTACGTCAAGGGGACGGTAGATCACGGAATCATCTTCCCAAAGACCGGCGAGAGTAGGTCAGTAGCTCGTTGTTGGCCGATGCGCACATGGCGGGAGACATCGACGGGTGATGGAGCACCTCTGGCGTGCTCGTCTTCCTTGGGTCGGCCCCAATTTCATGGATGTCGCTGAAGCAGAAGATGGTGGCGCTATCTATGTGCGAGACAGAGTACGTAGCGGCGGCCACAGCAGCGTGCCAAGTTGTGTGGCTAGCCGGCTGCTGGGCGAGCTGACCGGCATGGAAGCTCACCCACCAGCACTGATGGCGGACAACTAGCCCGCCATCGCCCTCGCGAAGAATCCGGTTCTGCACGACTAGAGTAAACACATCGACGTGAAGTTCCACTTCCTCAGGGACTATGTCGATGGAGGGCAGATCGTCATCGAGTTCGTCGAAACTGGTCGGCAACTCGCGGACGTCTTCACCAAGCCGCTCGGACGACTTCGACTCACAGAGCTGAAGGAGATGATCAGCATGGAGGGGGTACAAGGGTTAGCAGTAGGATTATGGGAAGATTGTTAGCTAAATCTACTGCTACCTTGTGTGAACATAGCAAGGGGAAGGCGATGCCGAAAAAGGCCTCCTGCTGTGATACTGTAGCCGCTGCAGGTGTAGGCGCTGATCTGCTCACCTGCAACATTATAGGCACATGCAAATTGGCCGCGTAGTGAGTCACCCATATGTTATCTAGTCCTTCATAAAGAAGGCATCTTGCATCTCTGGGACTAGAAGGTTAGAGTTGTATAAATAGGCTACCACGACAACTCAGTAAAGAGCTCAGATTTGCCATCTCACAGACAGGGCTTCGGTTGACGCTGGTGTCTTGTATTGTGCGTGCATGCTCTGTTCTCCCTTCTTCTTCTAGCTCTAGTCATAGTGTGTGGGGACGGACAACGCTTGTCCGTGGTCGGCACTGGCTAGTGGGTGCTCGGCAACACTAGCGGGTGCTCGGCAAAACCGGTGAGTGGTTCACTCACCGAGCCGGGTGATCCTATGGGCCAACATGGCCAGCATGGCCTTGCAATAGGAGTAGTTGGTAGAATCTTTACTACATCTTAACTTGCTATATGAAGTAAAGAGAGGCAGGCTGCACTCTTTAGTTCAAAGCATCACTAGGTTTTTTGTGCTCTCTATTCTCTCTTCTTCTATGTGAGTTGAGGGAAGGCATGGGGCTGGCAAACAATTGGCATCAAAGCACGAGGTTGGGAGATTGATAGAGATGTTAGGCTTAGGCGGCCTTTCTCTCTCCTCGGATCGGTGTGGATGCCAACCATCCCTAACTCCTTGTCACTAGAGTGTCATCCGCTCGTGGGTGCGAGAAGATGGTGAGGTTGGAGGCACGGCCTACCTAGTTCTCACCTGTACCAACTACAACAACTGGGTGGTGTTAATGAAGCTCATGCACTAGGCTCAGGAACTGTGTCATGCGGTGGATACCCACACCACAGATTAGGTGGAGGTATATATGGCCAACGGCCTGGCCAGGCACGGGCCCGTACTAGGCATGGCCAGATAGGGCATGGCACGGAAGGGCCCATCAAGCCACCGGGTCATGCCGCACCAGTCCATCATGCCTAGCCGACGGCCCAGGCATGGCCTGTCGGGCCAATTTCCGTGCCGGGCCGGCCCGATGAGCCTGACCTTTTTAGCAGGTCGGGCCGGCCCGAGGCCCACCAAATGCGACAGAGAGGAGGGGGGCGAGGAGTGGAGGTGGCGGCGGCCGCCGGCGAGCTTCCCCTAGGTCGCTTGATGCCGGATCCGGCGAAGTAGCTGGCGGAGGAGGCAAGTCCGGCGAAGTAGCGGCCGGATCGAGGGCGTAGAAGGCCGAATCGAGGCCGCTCCGCTCAAAGCCGCGGCAGGGGACGCGGAGGAGGTGGCTAGATCTTGGGGGGGTCGTGGAGGAGGCGGCCGTTGCCGTGCTCGACGCCGGCGCTATGGTCGAGGGACGAGGAGGAGCCGAGGAGGAGCGGGGTTCACGCCGCGGAGGGGATGGAGGCCGCTCTGCTCGAAGTCGTGCGAGGGGCACGGAGGAGGCGGCCAGAGCTAGGCGCGCGGGGGGCCGTGGAGGCGACGGCCGCCGTCGCGTGGTGGAGGTGGAGCTCTAGAGGCGGCGGCATGGGGATGGGGGAGGCGGAGTGGAGTGGAGGTGGAGGCGGCTGCGTGGCCGGGCATGGAGCACGCGGTGCCGGCGGCCCCCGTCGCGTGGGGGAGGCGGAGTGAGAGGAGGAGTGAGCACTGCGGCGTGGGGAGGCCGGGAGGGGGGATGCGCGGGGGGATGGCCGGATGGGAAGGGTGTTAGGGTTAGGGTTCAGGGGGTGGGGTGGGCCGGCTCACGGGAGCGGGGCGGCACTAACGGCCGGGGCTCTTAGCAAAGTCGTCACCGGGCGGCTACTCTGTCAGAGTGGCCGTGCCGTGCCGCCCACGTGCCTAAGGGTAAGGCCGTGCACGGACTGACCTGCTTCTGGGCCGGGCCAGCCTAGCCTCCGTCTGGGCCGTGCTTAGGCCGGGCCAAAAAACGGGCCTTGGGCCGGGCCGACGAGCTCGGACTGCATGGCCAACTATGGGTGGAGGACCGGATGGCGAGCCTATCATGGCATCCAACAATCGGTCCCAACGGAGTATGTCTTGGTGCTTGGGAGCAAGGCCATTGCAAAGTCTGGCTTGGGACAGCCTCAAGTCAATGTGCATTGGCTCGACCATGTGAGGAAGGCAAGAGGCGGGCGAGCAAATGACAGGAGCACAAGTCTATCGCTTTCCTTGATGGCAAGGTAGTGTGAGGTCTTCATGATCGCCAACATGGCGCACCACGGCTTGGTCCATGGCCTCCCGATTCTCGAGCATACCAGCAAGCTCTGCAATAGCCAACAAGCGCCTCACCGTAAGCGAGAGGAGACTCTCTTCTGAAGAAGGCAAGCTACCATGTCGACGAACCGCTCGAGCTGGTGCATGGGGACCTATGTGAGACAATCATGCCGACCATGCACGAGAGGCAGGCGCGCTTTCCTCCCCATGGACGGCAGCAGCCGATACATGTGGATGACACTATTGTGTCGAGCAAGGACAAAGGCGGCAATGGCGATCGAGCACTTTATGGCCCAGGTGGAGGCGGAGATGAGGAAGAGGTTTGCGTGTGTTGCAAACTGATCATGGTGGTGAATTTACCTCAATCGAGTTTGCATAGTACCGTCCGGAGAAAGCTAAAAAAAGTCCAGTTGGCTCGTTATCCACCCCTATTCCATCGGCTTGTGCAAGCAACCAAATCTAGCATGCTAGGTAATGCAGCATTGGGCCTTCTTTGAGCAATGTGCAAACTTGCAGAAAGGCCTGTGTGAGCAACCAAACAAGGGTAAGTTACGCTGCACAAGTCTAAATATAGACTAATGCAGCCCAGGGTAAGGGTAAGCAATCGTAGGAGCAGCTCTTGGAGCACTGATGGCATACATCAGATGCCAAAACTTCTCTTTTGGTTAACATTAATTGTTTCAACAAACGCATCAATAGAACTTTTCTCAAACTACAACTCATTGATCCTATGCATGGATTTACAGACAAAACAATTGATGACTTCGTGGGAATTGGAGGTTTCCTAGTGGTAATATCCGTTTGTTGCTTGGTTATCCATGTATGGATCAAAACACAGCAACAGAGAGGTCTGCACTAACAAAACAACAGATCAAAATGTGTGCCATTAATTAGTGCTCTCTTATATGTATAACTTCAATATTATTTTTCAGAACAAGCAATATTAAAGTTACGACGAATGTCTTCGGCAATACAAAGTGTGATAAACCTATGGAGCATGGAAGGTGGCAACTTGGGATTTTCACAGTACGATTACTCTCATATAAAAGAAGCTACAAATAACTTTTCAGTTGATAATAAACTGGGAGAAGGTGGCTTCGGTCCTGTATACAAGGTATTATGTCCTTACACCACAAATGAAGTCCTGAAGTGAATTAAACATTATGTTGTTCATACAGATATGATGCCTTCTCTATATTATATTGTAGAGATACATTCTGCAATGATGCATAATTTAATTGATATTTTTGTGACTAAATAGGACGCATATACGTTTCCAGGAGAACAAGTTATTGAAAACAGTAACTTGTTTATTTTATTTTGATCAATCGCAGGGCAAATTGAGAAGTGGAATTAAAATAGCAGTCAAGAAACTAGAAGCGTGTTCTTTACAAGGATTATTGGAATTCCAAAATGAAATTCAGCTTATAGCAAAGCTTCAACACAAAAATCTCGTTAAGCTGCTGGGTTGCTGCACTAGAGGAGATCAAGAAAAGTTGCTTATATATGAATACATGGAAAATAAAAGTCTAGATTACTTCATATTTGGCAAGGACCATCTCTTCTACATGTGTAATGTTGCTTACAGTATATCAACGGTTTTGATAAATTGTACATCTTTTGCAGATAACGTGAAGGGGCAACACCTAAACTGGTCAAAACGTCTGCACATAATTAATGGGATAGCTCAAGGGCTTCTTTACCTTCACAATTATTCGCGGTTATGTTTTATTCATAGGGATTTGAAAGCAAGTAACATTCTCTTGGATAGTGAAATGAATCCAAAAATATCAGATTTTGGGATGGCCAGAATATTCTGTTCAAATGAGAAAGAATCAAATACTACCAGAATAGTGGGCACACAGTAAGAACATATGGATCTGTGCACTTTGAGTACATTTAAAATTCATAGAGGTGCTTCTATGAAAAAAGAGCATTGTAGCATGTCATCAACTTAATTTAAAAAATCCACTTTTTTGCATTACATTGACACTATTTAACTTCCATCCTCAGTGGCTACATACCCCCTGAATATGCTTTTCATGGGGTTTGCTCCATCAAATCAGATGTTTTTAGCTACGGGGTATCGACATTGGAAATAGTAAGCTCAAAGAGGACCGCCCAATTCTATGAGTACAATGGAAAGCTATATAATCTCATCTCATATGTGAGTGTCATTAACCTTAACGAACCCAGAACTTTATCTGTGCATGCCCATTTCCTTATAAATGCGTAACCTATCTTACTTGTTTATGTCGTAAAAAAGGTTTATGTTCCTTACATATATATATATATATATGATGCATTTTATAAGGTGGCGAAACGAGGCAGAGAGAGCCGCTCGCCCAATTCTCACCGGTAGGCTTAGAAGTTACAGCCGGGACACCGCTGTGGTGGCGGGAGATGGCAGTTGGGCGGGATTGGCGGCAGGAGATGGCGGTTGGGCGGGGTTGGCGGCGGGGGCATTGTGGCGGTGGCGGCTGTGATTAGGGGTGGGCGGGTTCGAGGGGCGGGCGGGTTCTTGGTGGTGAAACGAGGTAGAGAGAGCTCGCCGCTGGTGGTGGAAGATCAGAGGAGGAGGCGGGCGAGGGCGAGGATGAGACTTTTGCTGGGAGAAGAAAGCGCGGGGAGGGAACCTCGCGAGCTTGAAGACGGGACCAGTCGCACGTCAACAGTGTTCAAACTACTACAAATTTTCCTACCTTTCGAAAAGGTCTAGAACATTGTTGGACAGAGAACTACGGGTCTCCGTTGAACCGTTGGTCCACCTGATCAAGTTCCTTCGGGACATGACATCCACGAATTTTCCTTCAAGTGCCATGTTTTCTCCTCTTACTAGACTAGTGTAGGTGCAGCGTTCGCACCCTGAAATCCTGAATGCCCCTACTGATAGTGTGATGCTGATACCGCACCCGGCACCACCGCCCCAGCAAGTGCCTGGGATTGACACGGTGAGGCGGTGAGCCCGTGGGTCCCGCACGTCATCCATATCGTTGCCCCCCTGCGGGCCCCAACGAACTCGAATGGTCTTGCCTACCATTCATGGTCTTTCAAAAAAAAAACATTCTCCTTATCAGTTGTGCAGCAGGATAGAGCACATTTCCATAATTCCATGTTCCGAACCTCCCTAACGAGTAACGACTGCGACGCACAGGCACAGCACTACCCTCCTCGATCACTTCTCGCCACGCACCGGCAGCCGCAGCGCCATGGCCACGGCCACGGCCACGTTGGTTCGCGGCGCCTCCCCGCGCCTCGTCACGGGCCACCTCCTTTTCCTCGCCGTCGCTTCCCTCCTCCTCCTCCTCTTCTTCTCGCCGCGGGCCGCCGCGCAACCGTGGCAGGTCTGCGGGAACACCGGCAACTACACGGCCAAGAGCCCCTACCAGTCCAACCTCGAAAGCCTCGCCAAGGCACTCCCCGCGAACGCGTCCCGCTCGGGGAACCTCTTCGCGACGGGCAGTGTCGGCGCCGTCCCGGACGTCGTCTACGCGCTCGCGCTCTGCCGCGGGGACACCAACGCCACGGCCTGCGGCTCCTGCGTCGCCACGGGGTTCCAGGACGCTCAGCAGCTCTGCGCCTACGACAGGGACGCGGCCGTGTTCTACGACGCCTGCTACCTCCGCTTCTCCAACCAGAACTTCATCGCCAGCACCACCAACAACGGCGATCCCATCATCCCTCATGAACACGCAGAACGTGAGCTCGCCGGTGCGGGCGTTCGACGCCGCCGTCGCCGTGCTTCTCAACGCCACCGGCGACCACGCGGCGGCGAACGCGTCACGTTTTGGCACGGGGGAAGAGGGTTTCGACGCAAGAAGCGACCCCACCATCTACGGGCTCACGCAGTGCACGCCGGACATGTCGTCCGCCGACTGCCGGAGCTGCCTTGGGAGCATAATCTCGGCGATGCCGCAGTACCTCAGCGGAAGGCAGGGCGGAAGGATTGTAGGGATGCGCTGCAATTTCAGGTACGAGGTGTATTCTTTCTTCTCCGGAGCCCCCTCGCTACGTCTGCCAGCGCTGGCGCCGCCACCGGCGCCATCTCCTGCGCCATTTAACGTGACGCCAACGGCAACCCCACCAGGTGAGGTGTCAGCAACAGATTCTCGTTTTTAGTTTTTGTTCGGTTTTAGCGCTAGATGTCTCAAGAACACGATTACACGAAAAGAGAAACACATGCGCCCGCGCCAGCGGTGGTGAACGGAACGCCAACAAGACCGACGACCGGAGGAGCACGAGGTGATAATTGGGGGGATTGGATTAAAGGTGCCATCTTTTGCATCCACGCGCATGGTTCACTATCTGCAACAGGGGAATTTAGCAACAAGGCTAATGTTGCTAAGAACCGACAAAGTTGCTTCGATTCCAGTAAAATAAGTAACCGACGAGTGTCAAGATCACTAAACCCTGAAGGGCTGCTTGTTGTTTGTTTTCTTCCGATTAGTTTGTTCAATAATTTACATTAAAATCGAGGAATCAAGTAAGCGAAGAACAAATCCCGTGCACGTGTCTGCTAGTTTTTCTATGTTTGTTGGTCTGATCTTGACATTAAAATGCAGTCCCGTAGCTATCAGTTGCCTCACTAGTCACTGCGAACATGGAACAATGGAAGTTCACATGAGTACATGACCCGACTCCTGAGTTCTGACCAGTTCAACATCTTGGCTGAATCGGAAGTTCTAGTCAAGAGTCAGGTGTTAGAAGTAAGGAAAAGTCATAAAAGAAACTCCTTTATCAATTGGTCTGACCGTCGGAGGTTAATTAACATTGGTCATATACACAGTGCATTTTCTAGACTAGTCAGTTCAGGCAAGATTGTATGACTGTTAACCGTAAAGCAAAATCGGAAATATCATTATCTGTCATCTACTCCTAGATGAATTTCAGATTAAGGGAGGAGTATAAGCTAAGCTGGTTCCTAGAGTTCTTTCTTTGACCTGAAACATAAACGTGTACAGACAGGTATCAGTTACTTTAATTTGCTAGTCGTTTTATATGGCAAGTTAAGCTTAGTTGCTCTTGTCTTGCTCAAGACTTATGATAATGCAGCAATACATAAAGGCTGTAGAACTATGAACATAAAATAGTTTTCTCCTTTTGTGTAGCTTATTGATTTTTGAACAAGAAGATTAATATTGTTAATATGCAGGGATGGAGGCATCCCTACCATCTAGGAGGGCTCCCTTCATTCCTCTTCTCTTCCTTCTTTTTTGACCCACCCCTGTTAGTACATGTATATGATGTGCCGGATGCATTAACCTTTTTGGATTCCTGTTATATTACTTTAACATTGATCAAATTACTAATTGATGCTTTCCATTTACAGGAACAACAGGAAACAAAACTGGTAGAGTTTTAGCCATTGCACTGCCTATAGTTGCTGCAATACTAGCTACTATAGTACTTTGTTCATGCCTCTGGAGGAGGAAGAGGAAAACACCAGGGAAGTCAACACTTCCAGGTAAGTCCCTTGTGCAGACTTTTTTTTGTCATGTCTAGACATAATCCTCTTATGAAAGTAGGAAATACACTGATGTTTTAGACATCATTATTAATTACACGTTCTCTTATGACAGATACAACTAATCCAGAGGACATACAAAGTATTGATTCTCTCATTATTGATATATCAACTTTTTGCGAGCTGCAACAGAAAACTTTGATGAAGCCAATAAGCTCGGTGAAGGAGGTTTTGGTTCAGTATATAAGGTACGACTTAAATATTATATAGACCTTTTTTGTTCTATATTTTGCAGTTTTGGTACTCAAATATGTTCATTTGTACAGGGAATCCTCCCTGATGACCAGGAAATAGCAGTGAAAAGGCTCTCACAGACTTCTAGACAAGGGATGGAGGAGCTGAAAAATGAGCTTGTATTGGTTGCTAAGCTGCAACACAAGAATTTAGTGAGGCTTGTTGGGGTTTGCTTGGAGGACCATGAAAAATTGCTTGTCTATGAATACATGCCCAACAAAAGCCTCGACACTATTCTATTCAGTATGGTTACTCACTCAGCATATTTGAGCAACAGTGAAACAACTGGAATTTTACAGCATGCATTTATGAGTTTTTTGTCTACATCTGACAGATCATGAGAGATGTGGTGAGCTGGATTGGGGGAAGAGGTTTAAGATAGTTAATGGGATTGCCCGTGGATTGCAGTATCTTCATGAAGATTCTCAAGTGAAGATAATCCACCGGGATCTTAAAGCAAGCAATGTTCTATTAGACTATGACTTCAATCCTAAGATCTCAGATTTTGGCTTAGCAAGGCTATTTGGAAGTGACCAATCACAAGATGTCACCAATCGCGTCGTCGGAACCTAGTAAGTGTTGTTATCATTCATTGCCCTTGTATGACCTATATATATGTGTACACTAATGTGCAACACAATATTCTTGTCATAGTGGATACATGGCCCCTGAGTACGCCATGCGTGGGCATTACTCTATCAAGTCCGACGTGTTCAGCTTCGGTGTTTTGATCCTAGAAATCGTCACCGGAAGAAGAAATGGTGGCTCCTATAGCTCTGATGAATCTGCTGATCTCCTTAGTTTGGTGAGTGCATAACCAATACAAAACTTTATGCCCCAGTTACAGTTTACAGTTACAGGTTTAGAGCAACAACATTGAAGTAATTCGGTTATCTAATGCAGGTGTGGGAGCACTGGACGACGGGAACATTGATGGAGATCATGGATTCATCCTTGAGCAGCCTTGCTCCGCGAGACCAGATGTTGAAGTGCATCCACATCGGGCTCCTTTGTGTTCAAGACAACCCCGGAGATAGGCCGATGATGTCTACAGTGAATGTCATGCTTAGTAGTAGTACGGTGACCCTCCAAGCTCCATCTAGGCC